ATGCACACATAAATTGTTTGCGTGTTCAGCACATAACCAGCGCCACATGTTTATGTCAAATCAATGTCAGCCAATTCGAAGTCTGAGTGATGACGGACAACAGACTTAGAAAGTCAACTATCATGACATAGCATGAGAGGGAAGGCAGGATATGTGACGTCCATGTAAGACAAAAGACCTTCAGACTAGACTGGAGAGGATGTGGAATATGAGGAGGAGTGATGGGATATATTTTATTATTATATGTTACAATAATTGATACATGTATTCTTAGTGTAAGTCAAGATACTACACGTATGTGTTTGTTTCCATGATTACAGCGCCCATGTGACGATCAGTCCATGAAAGAGACTACATTGTGTTAGACTCGGCCAGCTGGGAACGATGTGGAGAACGAGGTGAGGATGAAGTGGAGAATAAGCTGAAACAGGTAGAAAACAGACAAGGAAGAGTTGGACAAGCTTGACAGTTCCTCACGGCTGTCAGAGGCTTATAAGTTAAGTTAACATCTTTTGCGTTAACATATCACCATCATCACACCACTCTAAACCCCGGAGCTGTTTTCTCGCTGATGCTTATCACTATCATCAAATTAATCAGTCACTGTTTGTGTAAATCAACAAACTGGGAATTTCATTGTCAGTAAATAAAGCTGTATGTCAAGTTTTATACTACAGTGTCTGTTAAATTCCAAGTGTATTCAGTCTTACCTGTTTAACTAAACTGATAGATAGAATTACATTTGGTGGGGGCTCAATTAATATGATAATAATTCTTTAATTATTCATAATAACACCGGGAGAAGGTAGAGGACGGAGGAATCATTTGCCCTGTCTAATAATTCATTAAGTATAATGCTATAGACATCTAAAATTCCTTTCCTTCTCTTGTGGGTACCAAGTTCAGCTAATGTTAATGTACTTAACGAGCCAATATGGCTGTTTTCTTGGGTATCCAGGACTTTGTCTGAGAGCAACATAGCTCAGATTTTAGTTCGGTTAATCTGGCGGAGGGAATGTGTTGAGAGGAACATCCCTACTCAACATTATAAACATTTAATCCACCGCGTCACGTCACAGAGAGTTCTTGTAGACAACTGTCAGAAACTGCAACGTCGCACACATATATTATTACTGCTCAAAAACGTGAAAAAAAAAAAATAATAATGACTGTGAAGAACACAGATAGACTAATTTAATGAGCGATATAATTAAGATGCTTCTCAAGAACAAACCAAATGGAATTTAAAAAACAATTAAAAATCGAGTTTCTGAAGAATAGTTTGAGTTAGGGACAGGTGGTGGCATCAGGGAAGACATAATTTGTTTAAGGATGCTAACTAACATATAAATTAGGGCTGTACCGAATATTCGCTTCGTATTCGCTTCGGGGCCGAATAGTGGACCTAATAACTATTCGGTATTCTGCCGATTAGTTGCGGTCGAGCCGAATACGAATAGTGGTTACCTTACACCTGTTACTGGACTGGTGGAAAATAAAAATATGAAGATTTCTCACCTTGGTTCATACTGTCAAGCGTTATCTTTGTGCAACTCACACGAGCGTACCAAGTGAACGTCTGTTTAGTACAGCTGGAAAAACCTTCAGTGAGACAAGAAGCTGCCTTAATGCTGACAACATGGAACTATTTTTTTTTTAAAGCTTATGCCGCTTTCATGGATTAACTAAGCTGTCAGTGACAATTTACAAGTTTAGTTACTTGTTATAAAACTAAGAATACTTTAATTCCTAGGTATTAGTTACCACAGACTGACTGACTGAAGGATGCAAAATATGAAATGTTTTTGAATGTTTACTTAAAAAAAAAAAGAAGCAACCAAAAGGTTTTGAAAGAGGCGGGAACCCGAAGACCACCCCTCACAGACATCAGAAGGAGACAGTCATCATTTTGCGGCCATGTTATAAGATGAGGGAAAATTAAACATGTGATGACCACTGGAAATATATATAAGGAGGAATAAAGGAAGACAACGACAGAAGATTCTTGACAGTCTTGTTGCATGGCATGGAGGTGTGTCAGCACACGAACTAATACGTGCTGCAGGAGATCGCAGAATGTGGGGAGGCATAATCGCCCATGCCAGTCGGCAAAGCACCTGATGATGATAGTTCAATATTCGTATTCGTATTCGGCCGAATAGTGAAAATCATCATTCGGTACAGCCCTAATATAATTATGGTTGAAAATATTTACGAATGTTTTTTTTTTTTTTTTTTTATAGTAAGAAGGCCTTCTACTGGATGCAGCATAAGAAACTTATTGAATGCTTCTAAAATATATTGTTAGCTGGAAAGGTTGTCATAATCTGTAATAATCTGTGTTTGGAACAAAAACAGTTATTTTCAACAACATCTACTCACGATTGATAGAGATGAAAACAGAAGTACGTCATGGTTGTGTCACATGACCAGCCATAACACCCCTCAGTGTTAAGGTCTTCCACATCCTGTACACCCCTATATAATTGACATGTATTCAACTATAGACCTTTCCTCTACAAGTATATAGACCTTCTTTTGTAAATATAGATCAGGACTTAGTTTAATCATATTGGAAGTGAGTTATATTATGAATTCCCTAACAGGTAAGTTTTTTCTAAGAGTAGGGAAGCCATAAGCTGAACTACCGTCTGTTTTCCGAAAGAAATCTTTTCCGCTTCTGACTTGAAAGATGTTTGGATCGTTGGCGTCATTCTAGACCCAACGTCAAAAGCATAGAAACAGCGAAACACCTTCTTTGTCAACACTATCGGTATCTATTTTGAAAGTCTCAGTTTTACCTGGGAATTTCAGTAGAGCATGGGTAAGATGTTCTTTAAACTAACTTACTTAACTTGGTTGAGTTAATTTTCCATGCTGCTGGGGCAAGAACAACGTGGCTTTGGGAACCTTGCGGAAATATCCGCCTTATGTCTCTAACTGCAGGAATGCTCTAACCAAAGAGTTTCACCTACATGCCGATGAAATATATTCCTTAATTTTTATTCATGGATCGTCCAGACAGCTTGGAACTAACGTATCCTCTCTGACATGATTTGATCACGCTCAGTTTATATGCAGAATAGAGCTGGGGAGGAAGGCTTTCCGATCGGTTGATGACCTAGAAAGCGGTTTAGTACGTAGCCAGATCCGTGGCAAGGTTTCTGAATTACCTACGGCTTCGTTTGTGTTAGCTGTCGTCAATAATGAAATCGTAAGTGAGGAAATATTGTGATGTTTGTCTCAGACTTTACGCATTCATTTTTTAAATAGTCCTCCATCCTAGGTGTGTCTGCATTAGTATAGGTATTCAATAATGGATAGGACACCGTCGATCTTTCTCTTTTTGGTTTGGCAGGCACAGTCTAATGATATTGCCATCGAAGATGTATTAGGCAGAGCAACGATTACTATCCTCTCTTGCTAAAATGACCCTTATATGTATATGTATATATATATATATATATATATATATATATATATATATATATAGAGAGAGAGAGAGAGAGAGACAGAGAGAGAGACAGAGAGAGAGAGAGAGAGAGAGAGAGAGAGAGAGACCTGTCAAGTCTATAAATGCGAAGCACTGTAATCTGAGCATTCTATACTGAATGATGTATTGTGGATGAATGGTAAACAGGGTAAAATGTTTAATGGTTTGCTAACTCTTGTTTCCATTGTGTTTGTAGGATGTATACTGACTCCTCTGAAGGCTTGGTGCGGATCATTGTCCAAATATCCCAACCACTATCAATCAGTGCGTCCAGATACAAGCTATCAGGGAACACTATGAATAGTGCCTTCTTTCATAGAAACCGAAGAGAGGAGCAATTTCATCACTGCTGCAATAGTAATTAATGTGGTAACTTGCAGTTGCAGCCCCCTTCTCCTCTCCCCCCCCCCCCCCCCCCGGACACTTAGCGCCCATTATATTATTAACCGTATACTATATCAGTAGCAATGATGAGCACAACAGTAATGAAGTTCTTGGTTCAATATTATCCTGTTTTTTATTTTTTTTTAAATCGTTCTTCAATATCATTCCTTTGAGGCTATTTACTCAAGTTGCAGTTATTAAATCATGCATTGTTGTTCTGAATTTCACTTTGTTGGTGTCTAGTATTTCACAGTTCTCTTTAATTAGTTCTGTGTGGGCGTATTATTTCATTTGTAAGATTTCTATTAATACTGTGTGGTTATTTTGACTATGATAATGATCCTATCTATTCTAGTGGTAAAAAAGTCTTGAGGAAGTCTGGCCAAGTTGTGCCAAGAAATAGTAATCATTCTGTGGAGCCTATAATTTTAATTGCCTCATCGCTGAGGTGATGTTAGATGGTTGTTGGAGCTACAGAGTACCTTTTAGACCAATGTAAACCGTCATCTCAATATAAAGTCACTTCAGGGTGTCTTTTATTATTAGGGAAAGCCTAATACAGTCACGTGACACCATCGTCCAGTGACAGTGTGTATTATAGCCAAGCCTTGTCAACTTACATACATAAAAAAATTTTTTAAAAATCAGTCAGAGATTTGAATGGGCAGAATATCAATGGAAGAATTAAAAACACTAAGATTTGCTTTTTGATTAATTGATTTTTTAAAAATCTACACAAAACGTGTGATGAATAGAATTCTAGGAAACCACGTCATATCCAGAGATTTGCTTTAAGTTGTGTTTATATAATCGATGTCTCTTCACAGTGGGCATTCCCACACATATTCAGTTCTCTGATGCAGCAGCTATCCCAACTACTGATCATTGTCATACGACATTGTTGATTGCCTCTATTCTTGGTCTCGAAGACCACACAGAGGTGCTTCGCCTGTGAGTGTTACCCCTGACACAGAACACTGAATGGGATAAATATCAAGAAAACGATGAAAGCACGAAGTCAACATAACTGGCTGTTGAAACACTTGTGAAGACATCAGAACAATACAAGTTAGGATATCATGAAATTAGCTTTGTCCAACCTTTGGTCAGTGTAAATACTTAC